TGTATCCAAAGCCAGCTGTTCATCGCCGAAAAGTAACAAATTTAAGCTAATTGCATATTTAAGTTATACAAAATTTGAAGCATTACTGCAGGAGCATTTTAATAAGTTTGGCACTCAGAATGAAATGATAAGCATATTTGCAATAGTGCCCACTCTTTACACAATTAGAACTCAGAACTAACTTAGCACGAAAAAGACTATATTTAAGAGTGCTGCATTGATATCTCAGTCTAGTTTGTATGCTATTTAAATTTCTTTTACCATACCTTTAGTAGCAGGGCTAATTTGTGGGAATATGTTGGGATAGAGCTTTAAATTTATAAATGGGAGAGGCAGAGATTTAATATTATTATGTTTAGTGTTCCAGTTACTTAATGTAGAAGGTAAGAAATATTTTGTTGTAGTAGAAAGTCTATAATTCGGAATTCTATAGTTGTCCTAAAAGCACCTGGATTGTTTTCACCTACTGTAGGGAGTAATAGTTTGATAGATAGCTTGGAGTAATTTGAGTGTTCATTTGATATGATATAGAAGTTTTCGTCTAGCTCTTCTATCTAAAAGTAATTATAATTCTGATTACATATATAAAGATTAATTTTTGGCATGATGGTAATCTAGTAATTATTCTTGCTGCTTCACGCCCAGCCTGCTCACAATTTTCCGAGTCTACTTGAGGGCATCCATCCCAAATCTCAAACGCATTTTCGAGAAAAGGTATTACAAATGATTTGTAAATACTTAATAGAGCATCTAGATTTTAACTTATTATTTATTTTTCTTCTGACATAATTTTATTTCATTACTGATTGATAAATGTCATCAATGTGATCAGACCATTTTGCATTGAATTAAAAACGACTCCAATATGTCTATGCAAACTACTGAAACTAAACCAATTTCTGTCAATTATCAATTCAAGTTCTTCGTCAAAATTATTTTAATTTCATATAAAACAACCACAGTTTTGTTTGTATTGAAAGGAACTAGCCAGGTTTTGGCTCACTTATTGATTTTTTCTACATCTCTATTTAAAAACAATTCTATTTCTCGACACGAAGGGAAGGATTTTGTGATGGAAGTATTCCCAGCAGATAAATGTGCTGTTGATTCTAGTTCATCAGCTATATTGTTTATATGAACAAGGCAAAGTATTGCAAGGCAATCCATAGTCCCCCACCGTTAATGATTGCTATATTTCACAAATAGTACACTTATGTCAGGATGTGCCTACTGTTAGGAAAGTATTCGGATACATACTTCTCGCACTCTACCATCCCAAGATGTCATTGTACACCAAACCTGGTTACTCCAGGAGAAATAGAATAGAAGATATGCTCAGGATATTATCATTAAATCCTCAATAACAGGATGTAATGAAGGTATGTGAAAAGTTTCATGGTCGTAGCATCAAAAATGACGAAGATATGCCAATTTGAAAAATGTTCATATTCCCGCCAAAATTTAAAAAAAATCACAAAAATTCCACTTTAAACTCTTCTTCTCCGTTCTCTAAAAAAACGTACAGAAGTGATATTCAGCACAAACATAGCATGTATCCTTGACTACCAAAATAAGTCAAATCGTTGACCTTGCCCCCTCATTCAAGGTCACAGGGATCAAATGATCAAAGTATGAACATTTCAAAATATTTTCAAAACGTTTTTTTTACAGCACATTTTTAAGAATGTATCCTAATTAAGAGATTTATAAAGTTCCAAGGTCACTGCATCATTATGCACATCAATAAACACGTGAACTCTACAAAATATCGCTTTAAATGACATAAACGTTCAGAGAATAGCAAATGTATTTTTTCTAGAAACTGTTCAACGAGCAATAGCTCTTACAGCTAATTTAAACTCTGTAGAGACCGTCTCCTTACTGTGGTCCTATTGAATCACAGATCTGACCTTATCCACAAACAAGGTTAATATTCCAAATTTACTAGGCATGATAGTCAGAAACATAATACAGAAACACTAAACAGCTTTCTGTCAATGCTGACCTCTCAGAAACAACTTCACCCTGTAGTATAAATAAGGTACAAGGTTGGTCAAAGAAGGGAAACGAATAAAAGCGACGTCAGTCCGAGAAGATATCGTAGATCATTTTCTTGCTGGAAATCCCGTGTTTTAATCTTGATCAATTCTAGTTAGGGATTTCCATTTTGGATGGAAATCCCTATTGTTTTTGTTTCGTCTTCTTCTTATTATTATTCTTATTTCCAGAAATCTTGTTAAAACCTTATCTCTAAAAAGCACAAAGATGCAACGTTCATATTTCAGCATATGATTAAGCACAACAATCCCATGACACCCAAACAAAACCATGATCGTCATATCAAAGGTCAGGGTCACAGACCTAAAAACATATTTTTGGACCTTTTCGAATGACTATAACTTCAAACGCGTTGGTTGTACTGCATAAACGTATGATGGTTCTTTTAGATCTTTTTCTAGACTAATTTTTCCCATGACATGTTATCAGAGAATATGTCAAGTTCAAGTCCTCGTTATGGGGGCCAATATAGGTCAAAAATGAAAATCTCAAAAATAGTTCATTTTTATTACATCTTAAAGAGCACTATCTAATGAAGGCATGACGAAGATATGCCACTTTGAAAAATGTTCATTTTCCCGCCAAATTTCAAAATGTTCAAAACAATTGCACTTAAAACTCTTCTTCTCTATATTCTATAGAACTACAGAGTTGATATTAACATTTTAACATTCTTAAAAACGATTTTTGCTACACCACATTTATCTATACTAAAAATTTTATAAAGTTCAAATGACATATTTGAACTTTATAAACAATATCCAAAGACATTTATTATGATAATTCATAATGTATCACTGATATATTTTAGCGGGTCGTTAAACTTGAAATAAACAAAATAATTGACCAGGCATTTAATACAATGGTTGTTTTATCTAATTCACTATGGTTAAAGATGAAATCTTGGCATCCAAAACATTATTGATGTCTTATATAATATAATATAATAATTTTCATTTTTCCGTTCAACGCTTACACTTATCAAGTTATTATATTAATAAATAAAATGCCTGACCCTAAACTTATATATTTAGACCCAAATATCATATAAGACGTATATCAAACATGTGTATTTGTTATATACCAGACGCCGGGTGACGGCCATTTTGAATTTTCGCGTCATTTTCACGATGCTAATTTTAATCAGCACCCTTAAATTGAATAACATCAACTTTCAAACCTTGGTCCGGGACAAATGGTCACGGGACCCAATTGTGGGAACTCTACTAAATTTGTAATGACAACATGGAAAACTCCCATTCTTAACATAGACGTTCTATATTACTGTAAATGCCTCTGCCGTGTTAAGGCGAAAACATTCTGAAAATGATCAAAGTCGACAAACGTTTTAACAATGACTAACAATTTATTCCATCGTGCTTGAATATGGTTCTCTGGTAACTTGATGGCAATATACATGTAGATTAACTAACAAATGAAGACATAAGCCTGTCTGCCTATTAATTTCGTTTTTTAATTGTTGTACAATGTAGTAGAAAAAGACAATATATATATTGTTTATATTATGTTTCGTTTCGCTCGTAATAATATTAATAATGATATCTTAAATGTATACAGAATAGCAATCTGAAGTCTGAAACAGAAAGTAGGCTAAATAGTATGCACGTAAATATAAGAAGCACCATGAATCAAACCCAAGCAATTAAAATATGTAATGGAAATGAACGCGGATGTTATATTAAGAAAACACGTCTACTTGCTAATAGTAGTATTACGGGTTTCGAACAACGATTTTGTTATCCTTTCGATTTCTAATTTAAACGACTCCCACTTCCCATTACCCGCCTTCGAACACAAAAACGATGTTAAAATGTTTTATTTTCGTCGCAAGGTGTACTTGATGTTCCTGATGCAATTAGTCATCGAATGTTGAAGTAAATCGCTAATGAAATTGCTACTCCATTATCTGTTCTATTGAATGAATAAGTAAATCAACATTTCCAGATTTTTGGGAAAAATGCCTATGCTACAACAAGATTCGCTGGCTAATTACAGTTTATCTCTTAACGAAGTTGTATTGGAAAGTTATTTGAAAGTATTGTATGCAAACACATAAATAATCATTTTATAAATGGCAATCTCTCAAAGAGAGTGTACTTGCCATGGACAACAGAGACGCTATTGCTATTGTTTTCTGTGATTTCATGAAAGCCCTTGGTCGTTTTTGGCAAAGTGGATTTTCTTGTTAAGGAGAAAACCTTACAATCCATTGTTAGATGTTTTGCCGATGATTTTGCACTAGCGAACTCATCGAACGACCGTAATTCGAAATTAAAAAATCAAATTATAATCTTAGAGACTATGATTATTACCACATTCTACTAAGTAGGCTTAATCTTAAAAGATCCTCATTTATGCAAAAAGAAGCAAGCACATGGAATTGTCGACATGGTGATATTAAGCATTTTAACCCCTTAACACTTAAAAACAAAACATAAGAAAATAAAAAGGGTGATCAAAGTGAGAGGCTTTTTGCTGAATTTGGACCAATGAATGAAAACTAATGTTTTTTATCGTCGTCTACTACATAAGTCAAGTTCCTTAAATCATGACCTTTTCATATATAATTTATTAACGTCTTAATCAGGTGGATGTGGTCATTGTAAGGAGTATTCCAACCAGTATCTACTGGAACGTTAGACCAAAAGAAGTTATAAAATAAACTTAAATGGTATACTGATATACCCACTGATTTGTTCTTTTTTTATAAGATTTTAAAAAATCTCTCTCTCTCTCTCTCTCTCTCTCTCTCTCTCTCTCTCTCTCATTGACGTGTGTTTACAGAGACTTCTTAGTGTTTTTTTACTTAAGATTGTTATATTATTGGTGGTTTTTTTTCAGATGTGTCCTCCTGAACAAGCAACTTTGTAGACATTGCAAGGTGGAATCCCGCAACTGCTGACCTCTCCAGCAGCGCTAAGATGGCGACTTTGAACACGGTAGTTTTTGGTAACACAACACCATTATCGGACACTTTCACAAACGCGACTGCCTTGGACTACATCTGTTCAGAGGCCCCAAATGAGTACGCAGTCTTCTACAAGTGGGCACAGTTCGTAACTGGGCTCATTATATATCCTATTGTCTGTGTGGTTGGGATAATCGGTAACACCCTTACCTTGATTGTGCTTGGCCACAAGGATATGGGAACAGCCACCAATGTGTATCTGTCCAGTCTTGCTGTTTCCGACACCATCAAACTTCTCAACGATCTCATGTATTTCATTCTTCTTGTTTTAAAATTGGAGAACCTTGACGACGACAATAAGATCATATTTAACTTCTATCCATATGCCCATTATATATTCAATATGTCAGTATGTGTAACTGCCTGGTTAACCGTTTCGGTAGCCGTAGACCGTTACATCGCCGTCTGCCACATCACGAAGGCCAAGGAGATGTGCACAATTGCGCGAGCGCGTATCGTCAGTACGGTCGTGTTTGTGTCTATGATCACTCTGTCCGTGCCCTCTGCGCTCAGATACAAACCTATGCTACAGCACGATGACCGTTTAAACGTGTCCTGCTATAAAATTCAACAGAGCATGCTCGGTCAGAACGACCGGTTCATGACTCCCTACACTTGGGTCCAGAATTCACTGCGTTCCATCATACCACTCATTGTCCTCATCATCCTCAACGCAAGGATTATTAACGAACTAAGGAAGCAACGTGTCCCGGGCAAAAAACTCTCTTCGCGAAACAGAATAACTTTAATGCTGATCGTCATTATACTTTGCTTCGTAGTGTGTATCATGCCAGATGCTGTGATGTCGTTGTTTTTTGGATTTGGATATGTAGACGAAACCAGCTTAGTTCGTGGTATACGCGAAATCACGGATTCTCTTCTGGCAATCAATTCGGCTTTAAACTTTGTGCTATACTGTAGCATGAGTAAAGTTTTCCGAACGACGTTTATGAAAATATTTTGCAAGAAATGTACAATTCAGCGGAAGGTTTCAGAACGGCTGTTGCAGAACGGTCATAGTGGTGCCGCCGTATCGGTTGCGCGGAAAGACAGCAACAGTTGTAGTGGAAATAACAACAAAGACTCCAGGGAAACGTACGTTTAGGTGCCACCGAGGACACGTGGCTATCAACTCAATCTTATGTGCAGAGGCCATTGGTGAACATGAAAGTACTAATAAACATTATGACACACATTCTGGAGAGTTATGCTACACAGTAAGAAACACGAGTAACTCAGCCGGGTTTGAGTGAGTAAATGGGGTGTAAATTTTATCCTTATCAGTGTCGATTGAGCTCAAAAGATCTGAATTTATTAATATTTCTTTGCCTTCTTTAAAGACCACATCCGAGTGATTGATAACGCACGAAAACGTAATATTGCTGGATGAAAATGTAAGAGCTGATCTGAAAAGATTTATGCATGAAAATGAGTGCAATATACATTGCCAAACAATGTGATAATTTTCCTGTGAACGAATTTGTTTGAAGGTTTATAAGAAATACAACTTTGTCTCACTATCAATGACAGAGATCTTATGTGGTAATGGATGGAGAGGTCCTGCGGCTAGATGGTACCGGTACGCTGTACATTATGTAGATATTGAGCAGGACAGGTGAGAATATACTCGGTTGTGTGCTTTACGATTGTTGAAATACCGGCAGTGCTTGTATCTCACAGCTTAATTACATAAACAATACAAACGTTTAAGATATATTTTTTTCTGGAAGGCAAGTAAAATTCACTAGACTGATAAGTGTTGTAACTGTTTTGTCATATTGACGTCAGGTGTATGCAGACAGTATGGACAGTCTTATGGAATGGCGTCATATCTGCTCCTGTACATTAAACCCTGTCCTGTTCCAATTATTTTCCCGCATATTTTGTGAATCCATAAAGCAGCATTTTGAAACAAAAATACTATCTGAAAACGAACCCCAGAAAGTGTTCGGGAATACACAGATCCCATGTATCTTGCACAGCCTATAATGACGGAATGTTCCATTTTTGGTAAGGTTATGGTACCGAATCCTGCTAATTTCACAAACAATCATTTCATTTGATTTGCTTATATGCTTTTGATTTATATATATGAAGGTCTAGATTCGCAAGTACGGAGGAGATGGTAAGTCAAAATTTAAAATGAGTAACTGGAGGAAAACGAAATTTATTTATTTTGTTATATACATATTTACTTTTATATTATTTATATATTCATAATTTAGAAAATTGCTCACTGGTACAACAGTTCATACAGAGTGTGTGAAATTTCTTCTATACCAGTACATTAATTACAACAATGTGTATAAATATTACAGTTTTGTGTTAATAATTATGAATGAAATATAATAACTATATTACACCTTAAAGTGATATTTGAATATATAACCCGATCACTATTTGCATCATCGCCGACTGGTTGACCAAAAGAGTGGTCCATGTAGTCGATGACTCGTATGTTGCTTTGATTATATAAAACTGTTGTGTTATGCTCAGGTTGTATATATTCAAAAGGTGTGTGTATATTCATGTTAATTACCAATAATGGAGTCAATAGTTTGAAATGCAAATGCAGTGTAACCGCTGAACTAAATTAAAAAACTAAATTAGAAACTAAAAATGTATTAATTCAGAGTAGAAATGTTCTTTTTACAAAGTCTTTATGATCGCGTTGGTAATACAGCGGACTTTCTTATGTACTTAACAATAATGTAAAGCATACAAAGCATTGACTCTGACAGTTCTGAGATTTGTAAAGTGCCACTTTGTCAAGTCTCACGCGATGTTAAGTAAAAACAATATTTTTTGTTAAGTGATACATAATGTAAGCATGTGTTTGATAGTGTCACGTAATGTGCAAGATTCCATTGTTGAGTGGGACGTGATGAAGAATTTCTATGGTAAGTCTCACGTGAATTGAAATGTAAATGCTATGGTGAAAGGGTTTAAGAAAATCTGTGTCGCGTGATGTTAGCATGTCTTTGTTTATAGTAACGTTAAGAAAGGTTGTCTTTGTTGGGTGTCACGTTATATTTGGTTTGGTTTTAACAAGTTAAATGTCCTATTAACAACTAAGGTCATTTCAGAAGTGCCGCCATGTATTTTGTGTATGCGTGCATGTGTTTGTGTGCCGGAGGCAGGGTATGTTGTTATGTTTGCCTCCTTGTGATAGCGCGGTTCTGATGCCGACTTCATAGTGCTATCTCACTGAAATACCATGCCGAAGTCAACCAGCACAGCATTCCGCCCGGTCACATTATACCGACAACGGGTTAACAAGTTGATGCCATTTCGATTAAGCAGCGAATAACAACTACCATTTTTAAGAAACTTTAAAGTCACTCTTTTCAAGCTTTCGGGCTTAGCCTTTCGTCAGGGTTTAAATTTTACCGGACCTCTATGTCACCCATCTTGACAAACATGATGATTACTATGACGTTGATATGGATGACGTCATACCACTGTTACCATGACGTCAATACAAAACACTGACGTCATCAAGCCATGACCTCACAAATTGTGAGGTCATCATCATCACTTGGTATTGATGACATTGGGGAAAGTAGTGGTAGTTTGTTGATCCAAAATCCCTCTATCACAAGCCTTGCTACATTCGATTCATCTTTAACCCTTTCCAGTAAGCACACCCGCAAGTCCGATTGAGAATGACCTCTTCCAAGAAAGTGATGTGCCACCGGTTTATCTCTATTCAGCCGGATGTCCGCCACATGCTCCTTTATCCTTTCCTTAAGTGCACGCTCCGTCTCTCGCACATATACAAATATGTCACATTTCAAACATGACAAACAATAAATAACATTGCGGGTTTGACAGGACTGCCCATCTAGTGCCCTATATGTAGACTGGTAAGATGTATCAGTAGTTGTTTCTATGAGTCTATCACACACATCACAGTCGGACGTACTTCTTGCTGACAGATCCGCTTTAATCGAATACCCAACCTATATGGTATCGATCTCTTCATCCATGTTGGATGGGCAGAATAATAGAGAAGACGCAGTTGTTTGTCGGTCGGTTTCCTGTACCGATGTGTCACATGCAGCATCCCGTCCTCCACTCTTATACTGGTGTCCAGGAACTCTATCTCTCGCTCACTGTATCGCAGGTCGATCTTGATGCTCCTGTGGATGTTGTTTGCAAAATTAGCGAACTCTTCCAGCTTGTCAACACCATGCGTCCATATACCGATACCGTCATCTATGAACCGCTTGTAGAAAAAGAGTTAGGAGGTCCGACAGATCAAGTTTCTCATCCCATTTACGCATGTAGGAACATGCGAAATTCTTTCTAAGCTTTGACCCAATCGCAACCCCGTCCGTCTGTATTAACTGTTAGTCTCCAATTTGAAAGTTATTATTCTCTAATTCTGTTTTTATCATATCAAGCACTGTATCTGTAGGCCGATAACCCTTCCATTTTCGGGACCGAAGGATATAGCTTTCTTACATCAAAGCAAAAGTGCAGAGAGCCCGGTGGTAATGGCTGTTGAACTTCTTTCAATTTGTTTAGAAAATCAGTGGTGTCTGAGATAATTCGGCGTTGAAGTCACATCCAGATAACACCTCGTTCTTAACAACATCAACGTGAGTATCTAACCACATATCTCGACCTTTTCCTGGAGTAAAATTACTTTTCTTCTGATTGTCCCACTCTACCCGATAACATTCACCATCTTTATTAGCAAAACATTCCGTAAGTCTCATCATTCTCTCCCATTCTGCCATGTCTATGATCAGCTTTCTGATGTCTACTGTCTTTCTATCTGGTACAAATTTCAAACCTTTCGCCAAAATACTAGTCTGATCTTTGGTTAAATCATGTCTCGAAAGGTTGATCACCTCATTCTCAACCGTCGATTTGTCTTTATCTGTTTTGGTGACTTCATTAACACTAGTCAACACCATGCGTCCAGAATTATCTCGCCAAGTCGATTTGATTATCATGATAAGGCAACTTAGCGATATATATTTCTCATGATCTCGTTATCATCATTACATTGGAGCTGACTTAGCGATATATTTAAACCTAAACCAATTTTAAGTTAACTATGTATTTGGTTGAATGCATGTGATATTAGATGTGTTTGTTGAGTGATATTTGGTACAGTTAGGCGCACGGTAGTCCGAATTATTCTGACGTTTTATCAACATTTTTCATATCGGTCTGTCGTCGATAAACGTCAGAACTCCGGCCCTCTATAATATGCGGGAAATATGCGACCCGCGCCCGGAGCGCACTTCAAACTGATATTTTAGAAACAAATCGTCATAGAGAGCCGGAGTTCTGACGTTAATCGTCGACAGACCGATTTGAAAAAAGTCGATAAAACGTCAGAATGATTCGGACTAGGCGCACGGTAAATCAGGATGTTTTTTAAGCATAACTCGATAAAGGAGTTCGTATATTGAGTGTCTTTGGATGTAAGAATGTCTTTGTTGAGTGTCACGTGATGTAAAAAATCGATGTATTAGTGGAATGAACTGTGGGGATTTTTAACCGACAATCAATGATGTCAATAGTTCTGTTCATTTTTTCAGATTAAAATCAGAAGCAAGAAGATCTAGTTGATAGTATGGTTTATCCACATTGCCGTTTTGTACAGTGTTTGGTTTAGACGGGTTACTCAGCAGAAAAAATGCGGTACTTCCGTGATGTTATCACACCGTGTGTATACACCGACTAATAATTGTTGGTGACGATATGTTGCATTTACTTTCCAAAACGTCATGATGCTTATCCGATACAATCATAAGTGTTTGTTGTCCAACTATAACTTGTATTTACCGTTTATTGTCAAACGGCTCTCTTTACGCTATCTTCGTGCTCTATCAATTTGAAGGATACTGGAAAACATCACTTTAATTAATTAATCAATTTATTTATTTACGGCTTCATAATTCTGTCGCCAGAATTATCTCGCCAAGTCGACTTGATTATCATGATAAGGCGACTTAGCGATACATTTCTCATGATCTCGTTATCATAATATAATTGGAGCTGACTTAGCGATATATTTCTCATGATCTCGTTATCATAATATAATTGGAGATACTATACCAAGTCGAAAAAAATAATAGCATATGT